GAGGTAGTCGTTGCACGACTTGGTGTCGTGGTATGAAAGAAAGCTGTGCAGGACTGGCTTTTGTTGGACCTTTGCGACTCGCAGGTTGGGGTCCTACATATGGTGCAACACATTGGCTTTGAGACGTTATCAGACATGACTCAGGATAGAAGCCAGTGGCAATCCTGTAGTATGTTTCTTTTACTTCATTAAAGTAAACGTAATTTCCTTAACTGAAAGAATTTTTTGGGTTGTATATATCTTGCCTGAACTGCTTTTCCCATTATTAATATTATTATTTCACTCTCATACGCTGTTTTTGTTGATTGCTGCTCTTTTTTTATTAAGCTCATCCTCCATTCTCAATCTCCTTAGAACTCAAGGTCTGAGGGCGAAGTCGTATTGCTGACTGTAGAGAGGTGTGACAGCAGTAAGGTGTTTCCCTCAGACAACCAGCATGACAGAGATGCTGCCTTCTCACAAGGAGGGGTGGGGTTAGAAAAGGTCGACCCTAAAAATGTCACACCTCGCCTTACCTCACGGATTTCCATCTCCGGCGGTAAGGCCCTTTGAAGAACGGAGCTAACACGTCAAAAACCTTCCACAAAAAGGCCGTGCGCGACCGGCCTCAAGCAGTTGCCCCTTGGGCTCTGCGGTCACGCTCCCAGGTCGTCAAGACCAACACTAATCCAATTTCCTTTTCAGGTTCCTCAAGAAATACCCTTCCACGGTGTGGGCAGCCGGGAAGTGACATCAGCTCTCATACCCATAATAGCACACGAGACCAAGTTGGTCACATTCAAATCCTTCCTACACCTCCTAATACCTCTTATCTCCATGACTAACCCTCCTCACGTCTCTTTATCACCTCGCACCGCACCGTACGTGGAACGCTATTCCTGGTCTCCTGAAACCACGCCCTAAACTACACGTAGGAGCTTTTAACGTCCGAACATTGTGCCAAATAGGACAGCGGGCTTCCTTAGCTAGGACTTTAGAATCTCGCGCCATCGATGTGTGCTGCGTCTCCGAAACGCGCATACAGGATCCGAGTAGCGTCATTCATCTGACCTCACCATGCCAAAATAAAGAACCGACTCGATTCACACTTCGTGTATCTGAAAGCCCTGATTCTGCTTCCCGTGGCCTCGCCGGCGTAGGTATAGCATTGAGTCCCAGAGCAGAACTAGCTCTCTTAGAGTGGATCCCAGTAGACAGCCGTTTGTGCGCTGTCCGACTGAACGGAACAGTAAGAATCCGGAAAGATAGGGACACCCGTCTTTGCCTCTTCGTTGTTTCTGCCTATTCTCCCACTGACTGCAGCTCAGATGATGTAAAAGATGAGTTTTACAGAAAGCTTTCCGACCTTCTCCGAAAAGCTAGGCGCTATGATGTAGTAATAGTGGCCGGTGACTTTAATGCTCAAGTAGGTAAACTAAGCGATAGGGAAAGACACCTAGGTGAATCTTATAGTGTCGTGGCTCAAAGAACAGATAATGGCGACCGTCTGTTGCAGCTATGCTCAGATAATCGCCTGTTCCTTGCAAATACTAACTTTAAGCATAAGGAAAAACATCTTTTAACATGGCGACCCCCTAATTCGTCTCAACGTTGGACCCAAATAGATCACATCGCTATCAGCCACCGATGGAGGGGCTCGATAGAAGACTGTCGCTCATTCTGAAGCACATGCTTAGATGCAGATCATGCTCTAGTGCGAGCACGTATTTGCTTGCGTCTTACTGGACGTAGGAAAGACGCTGCAAGGAAACCTCTTAGGGCCCTACTTAATGATAGTCAAGCTAAGAGTATATTTCATGAACAACTAGGAAAACAGTTAGGCAACCATGTATGTGATGTCCACCCCTAGGCAGCATGGAATGATATCCGAAAAGCTGTGGAAACAGCAGTGATATCTGCTAGTAAGGTAAACCAGAAGGTTAGAGAGCAACACTGGATTTCAGCAGCATCTATCGCACTGATAGATGCTCGGAAACTCATTCCACCTGGCTCTGAACATAGTGAAGAGCGGATTCAGCTTAAGCGCAAGCTGACAAGAAGTCTCGGACTTGTTAAGAAAACCGAATGTTAGCGAAACAATCTCAGAGAAAGATGGACATATTATACATTCTCAATCCAGGAGATTGGATCGATGGGCAGAACACTTGAGGGATCAGTTCAATTGGCCTACAGCCACACTTCGGTTTCCCACGATCCCCAGTCAACCTGAATGGCAAGTTAATGTAGGTCCTCCGACTCTTTACGAAGTTGAAAAAGCCATAGGAAATATGAAGCGTGGCAGAGCAGCAGGCCCTGACAGGTTTACCCCTGAGATTTTTAAGGATGGTGGTCCTGTATTAGCAATGAAATTAACCGAGGTCTTAGGTAGAATTTGGGAACTGGACGTAATCCCATCTGACTGGTCTCAATCACTAATTGTGCTTGTCAATAAGAAAGGACAAAAGTCCTCTTGTGACAATCATAGAGGAATCAGTTTGACTAATATAGTGTCTAAAATATTAGCCTCAATAATACTTCGACGCCTAATCAAAGCTCGTGAAGAGCAGATTAGAGAAAACCAGGACCTGGACGTGGTTGTATAGACCAGATATTCACACTACGTCAGGTTCTAGAACACAGACACACATTCAGACGCCCCACAATGATAGTATTTCTCGACCTTAATGTGGCATTCGACTCTGTTGATCGTGAGGTTCTATGACAGTGTTTGTCACTGAAAGGAGTACCAAACAAGTACATTAACCTTATTCAGGCTCTCTACTCGAACACATTTGGTAGAATGAGAGCTTATGGCGAACTGTCATCAGAATTGATTACATCAAGTGGTGTTCGTCAGGGTTGTCCACTCTCTCCATTCTTGTTCAACTTTGTGGTCGACGTACTTTTAGAGATAACACTCTCCTCATCTAAATTTTCAGGGGTTGAACTTCTACCGGGAGGTTCACTTGTTGACTTGGAATATGCCGATGACATAGATCTATTTGGTGAAGACGCTGACAAAATGCAGTCTTCTGACCACTCTAAGCAACAATGCAAGCATGTTCGGCATGCGATTCTCCCCCTCGAAGTGCAAAATGTTGCTTCAGGATTGGGTTACATCGACACCCGAACTAGTGATAGGGAGTGAAGTAGTTGAGTGTGTCGACCGCTTCACTTATCTTGGAAGTCTCATCAGCCCCTGTGGTCTGGTGTGTGACGAAATCTCAGCACGGATACAGAAGGCTTGGCTAGCTTTTGCCAACTTGCGTCATTTATGGCGTAGACGAGATATCCGTCTATCAACCAAAGGACGGGTTTACTGCGCAGCAGTACGTCCCGTCCTACTTTATGGCAGTGAAACATGGCCGGTAAGAGTAGAGGATGTTCGTAGGTTACTAGTATTCGATCATAGGTGTCTTCGAAACATTGCTCGTATATCCTGGGACCATCGAGTAAGTAACACAGTTGTTAGGAAACGGGTACTAGGTAAGGATGGCAAATCAATTGATGAAGTAGTAAAACTTCATCAGTTGAGATGGCTGGGACACGTGTTACGTATGCCCAACGACCGACTGCCTCGACGTGCGATGTTCAGTGGTATAGGAGTAGGTTGGAAGAAAGCTAGGGGCGGCCAGACCAAAACATGGCACAAATCCATGAAGTCACTGACAAGTGGTCTGAGTCATGTTGGTAGGTGTAGACTACCTGGTTGGGGACCGCGAGATGATAGCAACCGATGTTTAGAGACCCTGAATGACATGGCTCAAAATCGTTTGCAATAGCGCAGGTGCATCCACTCTTTGTGTTCTCCCAAATTCTAATCTTCTGAATTCTTCATGTCCCTTTTTTCCTCTTTCCAAATTTATTTCACTGAATTATACTCTTTAAATAACATCTCCAAACCTTAATCTTCCCGATTACTGCTTACACTCTTGCTACCTCTACCACTACGGGATTTGAATCGACAACTGCATCTGTGTGTTAAGGTGGTGTGGCAACTCGAACTGATGTACGTACGTACGAAGTTCTACGTTGTTACTGACTGACTGACTGACTCCTTAGAACCTCATTGTGTGGCTCATATGCATTTGGTGGCCCATTGCGACAATGTTTGTGTTTAAATAAATAAATGACTCGAATGGTCATAGGAAAAGCCGTCAAATTGTCTTATAAAACCATAATGATAATTTACATTCAATAGAGAATCTATATTCCTTAGGCCTTAAGTATCTACATCTGTCATTTCACATCCTCAATCTTTGATTATCTTCAGAATTCTCGCCATGCAATTCTTAATATATGTGTATCTGGCAAATTCCTCTCAAATATTTGTATATTGGTAAATTTATGGACATTCATGAACTGTAACATATTAGACTTCTCCAGTCACTCATATGCTGGCTGTCATAATAGTAAACTAGAACAGTGACCAGGGGTGAATTTCACACGTTTTTTCAAGATGTGTTTGTGGTAAGTAAAGAATAGCAATCAGAATAAGCGGTTCAAATTTGACTTATAGTTTTGGATTTTATTTAGTGTACGCTGTAGTTAGTCGTACGTACGTATGAAGTTCTACGTTGTTACTGACTGACTTACTGACTGAGGCTTTTAACATATTATATACTCTGTTTTACGCTTTCACCATTTTCTTTCGCCTTTAATTTCCGTAATGCTTATTCTTATTTTGTGCTGCTTGATAGCATCTCTTTTAATTTATGAAGTGTATTAACTTGGGTACTACGTTATATCTATCTACGCATGCAGTTTCAAACTTAAGTAAAGTGATAGGGCTCGCGTATGTCTTGTTTCGTCACCTGATAATACAAATAGCTAGGGTGAAAGACTTTGTTGCTACCGTCATCCGTACTATGCAATTACATATTAAAAAAAGCAAACTCTTAACATGTCACTGAATTATCCTTATTTTATGGATATAATTTATATTCATGTTAAAGAGGTAATATTGTTGCTCTCTTTTCTGTATGATCATCATGTTTCAGTTTTTTCTTATTTTTATCTAGAAACCCAGAATTATGCACTCTCTGTTCGACATTATGACTCCGAAAAAAATATGTGGGTTGTAAAACACTATCGCATTCGGATCCTTGATAATAACGGTGGCTTCTTTATTAGTATTCGCACGACCTTCCCGAATATTCAGGAACTCATAAATTATTATACAGGTATAATGTTAGATATTCCACATAATTTTATTTTTATATTTTTTTGTGACCATTTTATCATTCAAACTCCGCCTGTAGCTCTTCCAGGGTCATAAACCCGGGTAAAGGGAAAGGGTCGGGCGTGGGGTCAGCAACTCCATCGTAGAAAACAACCTGGCTAAAAAACGCTAACCAGAATAAACAATTTAAACCATTTAAACTCTGTTCTGGGAACTAAAGGATCGTTCAGAAGAATTAGGATGCCTACATTCATTTTTAGATCAAATTTTTGGCTTATCTGACTGATGAGTCTTTGAATTATGCTTTTCCTTGTTGTTTTCTCTCTCGAAACCTCTCATACACATTCTTGTCATCAAAATCTCCTAACATCAGTTTGTCTCCAGACTAGAAACAAATCTACCAAATGACTGGATATTATGTTCAATGTAGGTTTCACTGTAACGTTAAATGGTTGTACATTATTTTCTGGCGACAATGACTGTAGTTTTTTCAATCATAACTTTAAAGTACTGCGATCTGAGTCGATTCACTTTATTCTTAAGAGCTTTAATAATTCATTTATACAAACCAAAATAATAACTCTCATACATATTCAAATATTCGGTATGTAAAATATTTTTCAGAATACTGTGATTAATATCAAGGTGATAAATTTATTAAATCATCCATACCACTATTTATAGCATCGAAAATCACTCTTGCCAAAAATAGTCGAGTCATCAGTAGTGATTTTTAGCAAAACAGTTTAATTCATGTCTACAGCTTTATATTTTTCAATGAGCCTGAAATAAAATCGACAATGTAGAATTAGCAATGGTGTTAAGTGAACTGTACGATATAGAAATTCCTGGATCTGTCTAAATCGTATTCTAGTAGCTACTAATGAACTATTTGTCTAAGACAAAAAGAAGACAGTAAACACACGTGAAGATAGTGTATTGGAATTAGATAAATAATATACAAAAGAAATATCTTTCCATACAGGTATGATATCCGTTGCTTCGATATATGATGAATTCAGTGAGGTTGATCTATTCAAGAGTTCCTCGAAGTATTCTATCCACCTGTCCCGCTGTTCCTGAATTTCAGTGATTGACTTGCCTTCTTTGTCCGTGATCGATCTCTCTGGTTTACTATATTTCCCTCCCAATTTCTTCGTCGTGTCATATAGTTGTTTTACATCTCCTTCTCTTGTAGCTTTTTCTGTTGTCGTTGCTAGGTCTTTCACGCATTGCCAGTTATCGACTCTAATGATCCTCTTCACTTTCTCGTTTATTGATGTGTATTTATCTTGTTAATTAACTCTCTCTACTTGTGTTCGTCTGTTGTTAATTGCTGTCTTCTTGTTCTTTCTTTCTTTGATTTTGTTTCTATAGAGATCCATGCCTTATGATGATGCTTCTTGAGGCTCAGAACCTCTTGACACGTTGAAGTTAATGCTTCTTTGATACCTTTCTAGTTTTCATCCATAGTAGTTTCTTGGTCTTTCAGTAGATCCTGTAAGGCGTGGAACCTGTTGTTGAGAGCTATCTTGAATTCATTGAGTTTGTCAGTATCTCGAAGCAAGGCTGTATTGAACCTTCATAATGCTGGTTCCCCAGTTGTCCAATGCTTCTTTAGCTTCAGTTTCATCTTGGCCACAACTATGTGGTGATCCGAAGCTATGTCACCTTCTCTCCTGGTTCTCACATCTTCCATTGCCCTTCGGAACTTTTTATTGATGCAAATATGATCTATCTGGTTCTTTGTGGTGTGGTCAGGTGAGATCCATGTATCTTTGTGTATACGTTTGTGTAGAAGTATTGTGCCGCCTATGACCAATTTGTTGAATGCACACAGATTTGCAAATCTTTCCCCATTTTTGTTTCTCTCTACCAGTTCATGTCGCCCCATGATATCTTCATATCCAGTGTTGTCTATTCCAACCTTGGTGTTTAGATCTCACATCAGGATGGTCAGGTCCTTCCCTGGGCACCTCACTGTGATCGATTGCAGCCTATCGTAAAACTGATCTTTATCTACGTCATTGCTATCATTGGTGGGTACATAACATTGGATAACATTAATCGTAATTCCCTCCTTCTTTGTTTTGAATGACACTTTGATGATTCTAGATCCGTGAGATTCCCATCCCACAAGTGCATTTCGTGCTATTTTGGACAGCATTAAAACAACTCCCTGAGTGTGTGGAGCGTTTTCCTATTCGTGACCGGAGTGTAGCAGCGTCTCTCCTGTATCTAGCCTTTTTTTTATCCAGCTTGGGTCCAATGGGTTTCGCTGATTCCCAGTACTGCCAATTCGTATCTCTTCATTTCCGTTGCTATTTGACTGGTCTTCCCGGTCTCCCACATTGTCCGGACGTTCCATGTACCTATAAAAACTGTTGCTTTGGTTGTTAGGAGGAGCATCGGCTTCGTGACTTTCGAAGGAACTAGGCTTTCATCATGAGGCGTCATATTTGTTCTAAGTGAAGACCTTCTGACTCCCAGGGCAGAGTTTAAATGGTTTGAATTGGGTTTTTTCTGGTTAGCGCATTTTTAGAGAGTTAGTTTTCTACGAGATAGGGTCCCTAACCCCACGCCCAACCCTCCTTCTTTACCCAGGCTTAGGACCTACAGTAAATGTAGAAGAGATACAGACAGAATGTGATTGATAACAGCTTACATAGTTTTGATAAGACTTTCTGCTTAACCATTGGAACAAAGATGTCTGGAAGCAGTGAATAAACGTTTGTACTTAGTAATTCAAAAAGTCATGAAAAATACCTTAGGCCAATTTAAGTATATCGGTTGATAAATTGATTCCTACTGGTGATCAATAAAAGTGATTGACACCAGTTGAACAAGAACAGAGAGAGTCAATTAACAAGATAAATACACATCAATAAACGAGAAAATGAAGAGGATCATTAGAGTCGATAATTGGCAATGCGTAAAGACCTAGCAACGACAACAGAAAAGACACAAGAAAGGAGATGTAAAACAACTAATGACACGACGAAGATTTTGGGAGGGAAATATAGTAAACCAGAGAGATCGATCACGGACAAAGAAGGCAAGTCAATCACTGAAATTCAGGAACAGCGGGACAGGGGATAGAATACTTCGAGGAACTCTTGAATAGATCAACCTCACTGAATTCATCATATACGAAGCAACACAGAAGACCTCATAGATGTCACTTCACCAACGATCGAAGAAATCAGGATGGCCATCAGAAAATTAAGAGCGGGGAAAGCAGCAGAACCTGACAATATGCAGCTGAAGTCAGACATCGGAGTAACTATAAACATGCTGACGTTCTATTCAGGAATATTAGAGAGGAAAAACAAGTTCCGATGGACTGAAATCGAGGATACCTCATCAAGATACCAACGAAAAGAGATCTGAGCAAATGTGAGAACTACAGAGGCATCACACTATCGTCAGTACCAGGAAAGGATTTCACAGAGTATTTCTGAACCGGATGAAAAATGCAGTAGACGACCAACTTCTGGTGGTCGACTGGATTATGAAGACCTTGACATCTGAGGGAAAACACGAAATACAATGGACAACTCGGACCCAATAGACGATTTAGACTTCGCGGATGACCTAGCCCTCCCATCTCATACACATGAACGAATGCAGATGAAACGATGGAAATGAATGGGATATACATTACGCAAATCGTCAAACTGTATCACGAGGCAAGCCCTAACTTGGAATCCTGAAGGGAAGCGAAAAAGAGGAAGGCCAAAGAACACATTACGTCGGATAATAGAAGCAGATATGAAAAGGATGAATAGGAACTGGAAGGAGCTGGAAAGGATTGCCCAGGACAGGGTTGGATGGAGAATGCTGGTGAGCGGCCTATGCTCCTTCACGAGGAGTAACAGGCGTAAGTAAGCAAGTAAGCAAGTAAGTAAGTAAGTAAGTAAGTAAGTAAGTAAGTAAGTAAGTAAGTAAGTAAGTAAGTAAGTATGTATGTATGTTTTATAACTACTAATCATATACTTTTAATAATCTTTTAAATTTTACTATCCTCGGTTTTCATCTGCAATAATGAATTGAGTCATGGTCAGCAAATTAATACAACATTCGAGTCTGTTATTCTGGGTTTTTTATTTATGCCACTATATTGGGTAGGCGAAGCAGATTGTCTTTTCGAGAGTTTTGTAAAAAGTGCGAGACAGGAGCAATTAAGGAAGCAAAGCAAACAGGCACGTTAGCAGTTTAATTTGTTTTAGTTCGTGTTAGTTAACATTTCGATCCAACTATACTTTATGTAATGCAGACAGACATGTTAGCAGTCTACTCCAATGCAGTTGCACTTTCTTATCACATTCAGAAACTTTGTAACAACTCAAAGCTCTGAGAGCTATGACGAATACACTAGTATGGCAACAGCCGTTAGTACATGTTACATGCAAGTATAGAGTGCATAGACCGATGCCTACACACTCCATGATATACACATAGGTACAAATATGATTCACTATAATTTTATATTGCTTAAAAATGTATATAGTTATATTTTTGCTAAGCGTTAGTCCTTTGAAGACAGGTGGTATTGTCCTCTGATATTCCATGAATTAGTGAGATATGAGGTTTCAAAAGTGCCAATTGTACTTGTTGTCGGTTCATGTATTATCGCTCCAAATAATTTTGAACTGTGCTAAAATCCGTTCGATTATATTACGTGGCAATAAAGCATTTCTAAAAGGTAACTAGCATACACAAGCAATATTAAACTTACACAATCGAGGTGGGTTAGGAAAGGTTAATCATGAAAAAAATACACTTTGAGATTCCATGGATTTTCAGTGCTGATATTAATGTTGTAAATTGAAAAGTCGAGACTTGAAACTTAGAAGCAATCATGAGCAAAATGACTGTGAATCGTTTCCCTTAGTTCAGTTACACTTTCTTAGGGTTTCCAAGTAAGATAACGGTTGGGAATCAGTAAAGTATTTCTATCCACAAATTACTTAAGTAATTATTTACATCTATCAACTGTGATAATTTAGATATATAAGATTAATTGATTAGAATACTTGCTTTTAAGTCTTATTGTGTATACCACAGATCCTTTGGGAAATCAAACTATAAAGGTAAATAACTTTAAGTAAGTTGTAAACAGTACAGTAGTATTCCTTTATTGAATAGTATGTGCAGCAAATGAGGATGGGTATGACAGACAATCATAAGATTAGCAGTACTCAATGTAAAAAGTTACGTTCACCAGAAGTTCACAAAAACAGAATTCGGGTTGGTGATAAAAAGTGAGCTGAATTCATGTGAAAAAAAAGCATATGACAGAAAGGTTTATAGAGTATACTGATATAGAATAATATGAATTAAGCCCAATAAATAAGGTATTCGACAAGTCAAACATAGGATGAAAGCTAAAAGTCATACGAACTAACACAGTTACTGAAATTTCTGTACGCTAAAAATACATCTTATTTTTCTTTAGTGGATAAAACCGAAACAGATCTTGGACCTTATAGTCGCACACGAACACAAAACAGGTAACTTAGTTCGATTGGCTTCTTGTATAGTAAACAGAATTTTTAGATGCAATATTCCCAAATACCTAAATCGGAATACTTCTTCAATTAGCAAAAATATATAGAATAATATTTTGGTGTAAATGGTAATGTTAGATTGGGGGTAATGAACAGCATGATTCCATAAATGTTGCCAACAAAAAATGTTAGCTTCCATGACATAGATTGTCATTTAATTTTTTGTCGTCCATAGCTTGATCCGATATTGTACTCAGTGTTATTTTGTATTAAAAATGAAAATGAAATGAATAAATAAGCATTGAATGTTTACTTAATATTCCGAATATAATGTAAACAATTAGCCTGCACAGAACAGACATAGCTAACGGCCCATGAACGCCTTTCTTAATTAGAAAATTAAATTAGGCAGTTTTACCAAACATTGGGACTTAACTGTTAGTGATAACAATGGTAATCAACAGTCATATCTGAAAGTGTTTAACTAGGTATGTTATTAGCACTAACGACAGTCCGCCGGTGAATATCGAGGCGGAACAGTGTAAACTTTGATGCACTAACGAACACCAACTTGCGTAAAATGCGAACACACGTCAGTAAACTTCGAGCCGCTTAGCACAAACATCTGACAAAACTGCTTACATCCTGCGATAATAATGCACACAGTACATGTTTTAAGAAAAAGTTATGAATTAACTAATTATAATGAACCCTAGTTTCAAATATCATAGTATGAGGAGCTATGTGAATTTTCAACATATGCAGAAACAGGTGTTTAAATCACAAATAAAAAAATTTCTGTATGTTTGAAAGGTGAGGTGAGACTTACTGCTTTATAACTCGAATATCTTCATGGTAGCTATATTCGAATTTCTGGATACCGATGGCATTAGGATTATCTTTAGTACAAGGACGCAATTTAACTGGAGTATACTCATTTGCACCCATCGCATCCAAGCATAAATATGAGTCGGCAACTGATCGAATCTCTCCATCAGCCTTAGATATTGGTTCTATGAGTGGGTACTTCTTAACCAAATCAAACGCTATTTCTGTCATAAACCACTTAAATGACTTGCACTTAAGTTTCTCTCGGATTTTGCGCTGTTTGGTCAAGTCACCTGCATCCAAATCCCTGTATCTTGGTCGCCGTTTATACAGATACTCTTTATATTCATCCATCCAAACTTCTGCTACACGTCTATGAAGGAAGCGATAATTCTCAGTAAAAAAAAAAGAAAAATACTTTACATTCATTAATTCCTTCAACATCAGTTATTTATTAGTAGGGTTCACTATTTACAAAACAGCAAGAGTAAATCATCGATTTTAACGCATAGAAGTCCCACCTATGACATTAATATTCTAAGCTGTCTCAGTTAGTCAGTAACAACGTAGAACTTCGTACGTGCGTACATCATTTTCAGTTGCTACACCACTTTAGCACAGAGATGCAGTGGTCGATTCGAATTCAGTAGTGCTAGACGTAGTAAAATTATAAGCTGTAATCAGAAAAATTAGGGTTTGAAGATGTTATTCAAGGAGTCTATGCTGTCTGGTGATACTGAGTTCACTAAAAATGATTATTCAAGTTTCCTAATAACTCAATTTGTTTAGGTATGTTAAATAGCACAAGTTGTTGTAAACCTATATGTGGTCAACCTGGCTGAGTGGATGGTAAATCAAGATTATTTCAAACCTTAAAATCTCCTCGTTACTACCTATCAAAGCAGACAAAACTCTATTACTTTGAAGAGATTTGAGGGAACTTGTTTGCTGTCTTATAGTTCTCACAACTGAAACAACAGAGAACTAATCAGCTTCATAGTCATATTTTTAACATTTTTTAGAAGTATTCAGTCTGAAGGACTGGAAATAATTATAGGCTTCATTGAAAGCTAACATTCTTATCAATCGTGCAGACCAGCTTCCACCTTTGTCACTTTCGGGCTGATACGGAATAAAATATCAGAACGAGTAGACAGTGCAGTTGATATTTACCAAATTATAAGAACTGATGTTTCACTCCCCATATCTTTTAATTACTACTAGTATCTGGTCACACTGTACAAGTAGTTCGGTCATATTTCCATACACACGAATGATCTAAGGTGAAAGTATGGGGATGATTCATCTTCTAAATTTATTCAAGCTAACCAGATATGTAGTGAAAACAGCAAATTATCGAACTGGCTACTTTGGGTATTTTCGAAAAAAATTTGTTCTCTGAGTAAATCAGGGGTCATTTATTTGAGTATCTTAATTCAATGTCGACTGATACTATGCAACAAATCTAATGTATACAAGGTCCCAGATATTAGTGAAAATACAGCATAGTTATTTCAATTACTTACTTCACCAAAAAGTCCATAACTCTAATTCCATGAAGTTATGTAGATATTGACCACACTTAAGTTACTCAAGTTAGCATGTTTCACGAAATAAAGAAAAGATCAGCTTTTATTGAAGTGTCCTGGGTCTAAATGATGATTTTTATGCGTCCAGATATATTCTGTAGGTGAAAATGTATTTCCCGACTTTTCAATCGTGGTAGTTACTGCCTTATCCATATTTACCCACTACTTTACGTTGCGATATTTTTCTACTAATGTGACGTGTGATATAAAACTTGCTAATGACTTAACTAAATGTTTTACTTAATGGTGACAGAAAATTTTGAGTAGTCATGGAAATCAGCATTTTCTAGTCAGATTTAACATTACACTTCTGACCGTATAGTGGTGGGATACGATACTAATCTAAACCCATTTATACTTATCTGGATCCTAACCTGAATCCACATTGATAGCAGCGACCGACCGCTGGCAACGCTAGACCATGTGGGTGAAATTCATTTTTAATTGTATGTTATCACTTTCAAAACTGAACAACTTATTATCTAAGTTTAATTAGTATTTTACCTGCACATTTCTTGTTTACAAATTGCATCAATCTGAAGTTAGTCAGTCAGTAACAACGTAGAAGTATGTGCTTATTCAACTCTATAATACATTGTTTTCGGAGATGTCGTAAACGTAATTTTCAAACTTCCAGATATGATATCTGAAGTTATTAAGTCTTCAGTGAATGCAGTATCTGTTAAGATAAAAATTAGGTTAAGCTCTGAGCAGTCAGTAATATTTCAAACCTTCACTAATGAATTGATTTTGGTTGACTCTTTTGAGTTTCTGATCAGAAACCATGACATCTAAAATAAAACAAATCGGGTTTGTGGTATTGATCTACCGGTGACATTAGGTTAAGATATCTCTGGTATGAACTCGCTGTTTACACTGCTAAAATTATTGTTGATGTTGTGAACGTACACTATTGAATTGTCTAAAGCCTACGTCGTGTAACTAATGATTTGTCAATTGTTTCTGCATTTAATGTTAGTGTATGGCTAAACCAATCTTTGTACGGAAATCAGTAGTATTTGCTCATCAACACATGATAAGTTAATAGTATTAGCTTCCATTCCATCACATTTTTTTAGCGAATACTTTAACGTAGTAGTGGTACTGTAGCTAGCAATGAAATTCAGAATGTAATTTGTCCTACCTTCGTGATTCGTTCAGTGTATTTTCATTCCAATAAGTGTCATCTGTAACTGTTTGTACTCGTTTTAAAAATTGCATTTATATTAATCCAAAAGACTCATTGGTGAAAACATTTGCAAAATACCTTCGATTCGAACGATATTTCAATCAACTTAATCTGCATAATTAGTTTGTATGTGGATTTTGCATATCCTCGTCAGTCATCCTCCAAACTCGTTAAATGACTTAACTATTTTAGATTTATATATACGTGGCGATGTCAAGACACTGGCTTCATTTAATTGCGATTTCTTTGAACACATCCAAAATATGTCACTTAATACCTGAGTCAGTAACAACGTAGAACTTCGTACGTACGTACATCAGTTCGAGTTGACACACCACCTTAACACAGAGATGCACTTGTGGATCCAAATCCCGTAGTGGTAGAGGTAGCAAGAGTGTAAGCAGTGATCGGGAAGATTAGGGTTTGAAGATGTTATTTAAAGAGTATAATTCAGTGAAATAAATTTGGAAAGAGGAAAAAAGGGACATGAAGAATTCAGAAGATTAGAATTTGGGAGAACACAAAGAGTGGATGCACCTGCGCCATTGCAAACGATTTTCAGCCATGTCATTCAGGGTCTCTAATCATCGGTTGCTATCATCTCGCGGTCCCCAACCAGGTAGTCTACACCTATCAACATGACTCAGACCACTTGTCAGTGACTTCATGGACTTTTGCCATGTTTTGGTCTGGCCGCCCCTAGCTTTCTTCCAATCTACTCCTATACCACTGAACATCGCATGTCGAGGCAGTCGGTCGTTGGGCATACGTAACACGTGTCCCCAAATGCCCTGGTACGGCCGAGAGTGAAGAGAGTCCGCTCTCCCTCTCGAAATACTCACACGGCCACGCGTATATAGCCTCTGCCAGGGAAGTCCTACTCACTGCCTTCTCGTGGCGGGGGTGTTGTTTACGAAAATGAGAGGACGAAAAGCGAATGTCCGGGGCTTTAACCGGATTCCAAACCAATGGTGCACATGGGCCCCAGTATCCTGAGGGAACAAATGGCGAATGAACCAATTGTTGGTCACCGGCTTCCATGGGACTGCATCTCCTTACGATGCTCCACTGCCTTGTGGATCAGACCTTCAGGTCGAAGGCTCGGGGTGTGGCCCCCTAAGAAAACCACCTGCTTCGGTTTGAGCACCCGGGCAGTATCACAGCCCTCACACAAGTCTAATGAGATTTGTGTGGCGCATATGTATTTGGTGCCTCTTTGTACCATTATCTATGTGTTGAAATAAATAAATAAACACGTGTCCCAGCCATCTCAACTGATTAAATTTCACCACTTCATCAATTAATTTGCCATCCTTACCTAGTACCCGTTTCCTAACAACTGTGTTACTTACTCGGTGGTCCCAGGATATACGAGCAATACTTCGAAGACACCTATGATCAAATACTAGTAACCTACGAATATCCTCTACTCTTACCGGCCATGTTTCACAGCCATAAAGTAGGACGGAACGAACTGCTGCGCAGTAAACACGTCCTTTGGTTGGTAGACGGATATCTCGCCTACGCCATAAATGACGCAAGTTGGTAAAAGCTAGTCGAGCCTTCTGTATCCGTGCTGAGATTTCGTCACACACCAGACCACAAGGGCTGATGAGACTTCCAAGATAAGTGAAGCGGTCGACACACTCAACTACTTCACTCCCTATCACTAGTTCGGGTGTCGATGTAACCCAATCCTGAAGCAACATTTTGCATTTCGAGGGAGAGAATCGCATGCCGAACATGCTTGCATTGTTGCTTAGAGTGGTCAGAAGACTGCATTTTGTCAGCGTCTTCACCAAATAAAACTATGTCACCAGCATATTCCAAGTCAACAAGTGAACCTCCCGGTGGAAGTTCAACCCCTGGAAATTTAGATGAGGAGAGTGTTATCTCTAAAAGTACGTCGACCACAAAGTTGAACAAGAATGGAGAGAGTGGACAGCCCTGACGAACACCACTTGATGTAATCAATTCTGATGACAGTTCGCCATAAGCTCTCACTCTACCAGTTGTGTTCGAGTAGAGAGAGTGAATAAGGTTAATGTACTTCTTTGGTACTCCTTTCAATGACAAACACTGCCATAGAACCTCACGATCAACAGAGTCGAATGCCGCCTTAAGGTCGAGAAATACTACCATTGTGGGGCGTCTGAATGTGTGTCTGTGTTCTAGAACCTGACGTAGTGTGAATATCTGATCTATACAACTACGTCCAGGTCGAAAACCAGCCTGATTTTCTCGAGTCTGCTCTTCACGAGCTTTGATTAGGCGTCGAAGTATTATTGAAGCTAATATTTTAGACACTATATTAGTCAAACTGATTCCTCTGTGATTGTCACAAGAGGACTTTTGTCCTTTCTTATAAACTGGCACAATCAGTGATTGAGACCAGTCAGATGGGATTACATCCAGTTCCCAAATTCTACCTAAGACCTCGATTAATTTCATTGCTAATACTGGACCACCATCCTTAAAAATCTCAGGAGTAAACCTGTCAGGGCCTGCTGCTCTCCCTCGTTTCAGATTTCCTATGGCTTTTTCAACTTCATAAAGAGACGGAGGACTTACATTCAGTATGACTAGAGATCGTGGGAAACCGAAGTGTGGCTGAAGGCCAGTTGAACTGATCCCTAAAGTGTTCTGCCCATCGATCCAATCTCCTGGATTGAGAATGAATAATATGTCCATCTTTCTCTGAGATTGTTTCGCTAACAGTCGGGTTCCTAATTCCGGTTTCCTTAACGAGTCTAAACAATTGTCTGCTATTACCTATTGCCGTTGCCTTTTCCATCTCTCTTGCTTTCGCTACCCACCACTGTTCGTGATCATTGCGTAGACTTCTTGTCAGTTTGCGCTTAAGCTGACTCCGCTCTTCACTATGTTCAGAGCCAGGTGGAATGAGTTTCCGAGCATCTATCAGTGCGATAGATGCTGCTGAGATCCAGTGTTGCTCCCTAACCTTCTGGTTTACCTTACTAGCAGATATCACTGCTGTTTCCACAGCTTTTCAGATATCATTCCATGCTACCTCGGGGTGGGCAGCACATACATGTTTGCCTAACTGTTTTCCTAGTTGTTCATGAAATATACTCTTAGCTTGACTATCATTAAGTAGGGCCCTAAGAGGTTTCCTTGCAGCGTCTTTCCTACGTCCAGTAAGACGCAAGCAAATACGCGCTCGCACTAGAGCATGATCTGAATCTAAGCATGTGCTCCAGAATGAGCGACAGTCTTCTATCGAGCCCCTCCATCGGTGGCTGATAGCGATGTGATGTATTTGGGTCCAACCTTGGGACGAATTAGGGGGTCGCCATGTTAAAAGATGTTTTCCCTTATGCTTAAAGTTAGTATTTGCAAGGAACAGGCGATTATCTGAGCATAGCTGCAACAGACGGTCGCCATTATCTGTTCTTTGAGCCACGACACTATAAGATCCACCCAGGTGTCTTTCTCTATCGCTTAGTTTACCTACTTGAGCAATAAAGTCACCGGCCACTATTACTACGTCCGAGCGCTTAGCTTTTCGGAGGAAGTCGGAGAGCTTTCTGTAAAACTCATCTTTTACATCATCTGAGCTGCAGTCAGTGGAAGACTAGGCAGAGACGACGAAGAGGCAACGACGGGTGTCTCTATCTTTATGTATCCCTACTGTTCCGTTCAGTCGGACAGCGCACAAACGACTGTCTACTGGGATCCACTCTGAGAAAACTAGTTCTGCCCTAAGACTCAATACTATACCTACGCCGGCTAGATCATGGGAAGCAGAATCAGGGCTTCCAGATACACAAAGTGTAAGTCGAGTCGGTTCCTTATTTTGGCCTGATGAGGTCAAGTGAATGACGCTGCTCGGATCCTGTATGCGCATTTCGCAGATGCAGCACACATCAATGGCGCGGGATTCGAAAGTCTTAGCTAAGGAAGCCTGTTGTCCCATTTGGTAGTGTTCGGACATTAAAAGCTCCTACGTGTAGTTTAGAGCGTGGCTTCAAGAGACCAGGAATATAGATTGGATTAGTGTTGGTCTTCACGACCTGGGAGAGTGACCGCAGAGCCCAAGGGACGACTGCTTAAGGCCGGTCGCGCACGGCCTTTTCGTGGAAGGTTTTTGACGTGTTAGCTCCGTTCAAAGGGCCTTACCGCCGGAGACAGAAATCCGTGAGGTAAGGTGAGGTGTGACATTTTTAGGGTCGACCTTTTTTAATCAAACCACTCCTTGTGGGAAGGCAGCATCGCTGTCATGCTGGTTGTCTGAGGGAAACACCTTACTGCTGTCACACCTCTGTACAGTCAGCAGTACGACTTCGCCCTCAGACCTTGAGTTGCTGCTTTTAGCCTTACCGTTGACCAATCGACCTGCCTGGCATGGTAGAACCTACAGGAACATATGTTCCAGCCAATATAGCTCGGTTGGGTCATCAAGATAGACAAGCCCGACCACCGCGTCAAGGTAGCAGCTTCGGTTGGTCAATCTGAAGTGATTAAATCCTATCCTTGGTATATAGTCAACTGATTGGTTTGTGTTGTAGTTAACTAAAAATAGGAATACAAAGATTTGTTCTGATAAGACATAAGAGACACTAAAGCTGTCATGTAGTTGAAAATTAGAGGGATGCTGGTTTTGCCACTATTAAGCTGAAAGTATGGATTTCGCCAACATGTATCACTGAGGAGTTAGGTAGTGTCATCACTTCTCATAAAAATGCATGAATCTGAACTCCAGTAAAGAAATTTTCTTAGGTTTTAATTGAGTACGCGAATCATAAATGTGCGGTCGAAATTACACTAAAAAATTAAAGGAGCGAAGTAAAATATATGTCGATTTTGTACAAATCAGTGTACTTTGTCTTAAACTGTAATGTTATCGAATGTTAGAAATAAACTTGAAAATTCAACGGAAAATACCGTAAAATAATACAACTGTTTCACTCACTTGTAATTCCGACCAACAAAGTCCCCGAATTCTGCTTTCGGAAAGTTAGTTGAGTATTTACGATATATATGACCTATTCTAGAACACGGGGCATCAATCATACGCCCTCCACACATCCAAATCTTGAATGACAACTCGTATTGCTCTCCACCCCAAATAACAAGACCAGGATCATAGCCTCCAAGTTCCCAAAACCATTTCGCACTGATGGCAAACAGACCTCCTGCCATCACTGGACTGTCAAAAGGCTCATCAGGATGATATCTATCTTCTGGTAATCGTGGAAGGCGCTTATAGTACAACTCCCAGTCAAATGCTCCTCGAGCCCCTTCATCTTGAGCACGATATTCAAAGGTATTTGCATCTATTACATCAATAAATGGACAAACAACAGTCTTGTAGTTCGCAGCAATTGGATCAAGCAGCGGCGGAAGCCAGTTTATTCCTGCTTCACAATGAGAATCCAGAAAAATGAGCACTTCCCCAGTAGCTTCTCTGGCGCCCGCTGTTTTCGCTCGAATAAGACCTCCCCTCTGTTCCAGGTGAATTACACGTACTATACCACTTGGATACGCAGTTGCAAGATGATTATCAAGTTCATCTTTCAGATATTTTCGTGAGCTTCCATCATCAACCAAAATTATTTCCTTGATTAGCCCTGAAGGAGCTCGATTCAAAACAGATGCGACTGTGCGTAGGAGAGTCTCCCAATGCTCTTCAAAAAAAGGGATAATCACTGAAGCAGTAGGAAGGTTGCTGAAATATAGTTTCCCTTTACAACGTGGATGGCGGATATCTTTAATAGATCTATCTATTTTGATTTTCCCACTAACATACACACTGAAACCGTTCTCATTTATAGTTTTATTAGATAGTTCTCTATCGAGAGGGGATAGTTCGAAAGCCATGCCGTTCTCTCCAGGTCCCACTCTCGAACTTTCAAGTGCAGTCAGCGAGTAGTTTTCCCAGTCTATTTTAAATGGCTTTACATTGTGTACACTTGCAAAATCTTGATTCCGGATAAGTTGGCTTATAGAATTAGGTCCAGATAGCGCTTTATCCAAATATTTATTATATATAATAGCGATACATAGTAGCAGTAATAGGGAGATTAAAGATAGTCGAATTAACCGAGAAGGATGCACACGCATCTGCCACACAGACCAACCAACCAAGGTCAAACTTAATGTGGTCGTTCAATTCAAGGACAAGAGGTTGCAAATCGAGACACAATGTCTCTTAACAAGCTTGTGTGAATTAACCGTTCGTTTAAGCACAGACCTATATGTTCAAATTTAGGAGAAAGATGGAGAAAAATTTAACTTCATATGCTAGGTTACGTTTACAGGCTTCATTTGCGGTATGTGCATATACCTACAATATCCAATATATTTGAGACAAACTTGTTTAAATCAATTGATTTCTTCGCACTCACCTCTTGCTATTTCAGTACGGTTCCAGGTATATGGTGATGTCCAATGTATGGTAGTCGCTCGATTGCACCAATTCTAGTCACTTAGCCAGAAATTTGTAGATTTGCATATCTTGAAATTTGAGTGAGTGTGTTTGTTTCAGGACAGTAGGAATCATGGATACCAGCAGCTATCACATCACCAAAATAGGTTGGTTGGTCATAATGTGAAGATTATCACGTGATAATTTCAGTGCTATGAGGACACGATTGTCTCAAGCATAAGTAAGTAATCTACGTAATTGATAGTGTGTACGAAAACGGAGTCGAAAGGACAAGAAGGGGAACGAAGATGAAAATAAGTGAGACAGGAGGTGGTTACCGACATGTGGTAATGATAGTCACGGTAATTTATGAGAGATGAGTCAGACACAACCAGTCCACAAGGAAAACTGGCAAGCCATGAGTGAGAATGTATCTGCCATGTCACTTCGTTCGGGATAGCATCCCAAATGTAGAGACTGTCCACGTAAGACTTCCGCTTTAGCCCTATCACTCACCGGGTTATCCGTCTACTTACTTGGTCAAAGAGACTTATGTCTCTTTTGAAAGAAGGACACAATGAAATTGTAAACTGAAAGGTGGGGTCATGAGTACGTCTCAAACGGTGTTAGGAAAGACTCCGGGGTGATTGCACCACGTAGTCTTCACATGAACGGGAGATTTGCGTTTGACCTAGCTGCAACCCATGTAGTTTGAGTTGGTGTCTAGGCTCTCCGTGGTTGCAAGCCTGAGATCATGCTCTGAGAAGACAATCGGAAGAGAATTTCCATGGAGGGTGCAAGTGCTTTGCGTCAATTGAGGCAAAGTGTGTACGACATGACATTTCAACTAGTCAAGTTTCAACCCATTATCTACTGTTCATCACCCCCTCGTTTTAAGGTCCTTCCTTAGCTCGAGCGAGTCAGTTTCTCTTCATATGGAACTCCACATCCTTGCATTGTCTGCATAGATTGGTGCTGCTAAGCTGATGATATCTATCGGCTCGTTGATAAAAATCAAGGACATTAGTACCCCTCCGTGAAGCGCTCCGACTATTATATTGAACATTTGAGTCTAACTTTAACTCAAATTCTAGGGTATGAAAGTTTGTAATCTATCTTTATGACCAGTGAGAATTAAAACATGTCAACCTAACTATCAACTGGCATAAGAATTGAGAGGTGTTCATCAACTCCAGACTCCTGATTTGTTTTGAGTTAAACATATCTGCTATTTACAAGTTAATGATATCTATGCTATTTAGGTTTGTGTGGTAAGAGATTCTTCTGCTTTTTAGGCTTTCTGGTCATGACACTCTAGAGATACTTGAGGCTAGCTTCCAGTTGACTGACAATATCAAATGTTACAGAAAATTACTAATAATATATTTCTGGCAAACATGACATACACGATCTCTACAGGAATGATCAATAATTTACAACATGGGTTTACAGATACGATATTACACAGTGAGGTGATAAAATATGCAACATCAGTGAAAACTTATGATAAAATATTCATGCAGATACATTAAGAAGTTTATAAATGGGTTTGTGTTTTGATATTGTGCTATTAGTTCACATATTATGATCTGTTCAGTAATAGCACATCGTACAAATGTGAACCTTGAAGAACACACATTCACTCCAAATTTCACCTTTGAGCGTAGATAAAGTAAGAAACATTCTCATCCTTCCGAAGTATCTCGTTTGTGATTACGTTAAACGTGACTGCACCATGGTTCTAACTCATTTAGTAATCTTATCTCTGAGGTTTTCTGTCTCATTGTATGGAGCCACGCACAAGTTCAGTCAATGATGAGCATCCAACGCCTGTAAAAAGCCGTATATGGAAAAAACTCACGGGGGTTGCTTCCTGGGTGCTGAGATCTAGGGATGAGGTTCGAAGCCTCCGAATATTAGTGTAGCGGTTAATGATTCCCTGAAATCGATAGCTCTGTAAGTCTTCGAGATTGAATTCTGACTACATTGGTTTTAGTGGAATCACCTAGCTGAAGGCACTCGGTCATGTATCCGCACCAGATCACGAGTGGGAACGCCGTGCTCACCTTCCCTCGCAATCGCTAGCCAGGTTAGATCAATCGATCCCCGAAATACTGATAGCCTATCAAATATATCTTCTAAATTCCTCGCTTCCGTCCTTTGATTTCACTTAGCGTGTACGATTCATATTAGGTGCTACTTGTTAAGGCGTTGTCAAACTTTAAATATCTGTAGCATCTTCATTAGAATTTTGTGAAATCCCGTGAATATTAGCTTTAGAATCGCTTGTACCATCTCTTCTTTTCAAGTCAGATAACTTGCAATAGGGCTCATATATTCCTTCGAATAAGTACTTTGCACCGTTCTCATTAAAGCAACAGCGTGATTCTGTCACCTCAGTTAATTCTGTATCGCAACATCTATGGCTACAAAGATCATTTTACGAGCTGTACTAGGCCTGAAGACCATCAGTTAAGTCTCTAAAGTTTCTGAAGTTCACAGACATCACACCAAATGTCGTAGTTGTGTAAATGTCTATGCTTCACGATAGCCAACACCACCAATGCAGCTTCACCCCAAAAACTACCTACTAGCTCAGGCAGACCAAGAACCACAATGTTGGTTGGTTCTTGACTGTTTGCTGCAGCGGCAGCTCTTACGGCCCATTGTTAGTCGTCTCTAACTTGGATTTGAAAGGATTATTTAACTGCTGGTCCCTGGGGTGTCAGTTAAATATCATCCGTAACGTGTGCTGGATCTACATTTACCCTTACTGGTAGGGTTTCACGTTTGCTACGTGTTGAACCTTAAACCAGTGGTATAACTTGGCTGCAGTGATACCACTTCCCAACACTGTGAAGTATCCGTTCCACCTTCTAATAAGCTACACTTCGATACTGGAAAGTGAGGTAAAATCATGTAGTTTCGTTTTATGTCGTTATCTCTCATTTTTAGCAATTTTGGAGCTAAGTTCTCGCCGTTACCCTTCCCAACGCTCACCAACGACATCTTTAATAGTGAATCCAAACACTTCAGAAAACGCATTCGAATGTCATGTCCCTAGTATTAACGAGCGGTGAGTATGCAATGTAACCATCGTTTGCACGTTGATTCGCTCCAGTAGTCAGCACAACAGACAGTTTGTTATTCTTTGTTCACGTGTTTCGATTTTTGCTACCAGGCATACTAGTGATAAAGAATCGAATAGGAGTGTGATCGTGATTGCCTAGTAGAGGATTCAGTTTCGGTGTTTGAGTTGTGCGATCCACAGTGCATACACTACTCTGAGATTGGTTTTCTGGTGTTACCATGCTTCTAGAAACAGAGAAATTCTCTGTACTTTGACCTTTACCTTTGCTAGTTGATCTTGTAGTTACAGGGAAAGTGCTTGTGACAACACTATTACTGCGTATGTTACCCAGTAGACCGAAATGCGAAATATGAGACTATTTAAGAAGGAATAACGCTAGATGGTTTTGAAGTAGAAATATAATGGAGATAAGTCAATGTGTTCTACATAGTAATGGGACCTGAAAGGCATTTTCAATTTCAATTTTACAGGTGACTACCCTAGAAAGTAACTCCACGCGGATCTAGTTACTGATTCTTAAGTCTTGTGTTTGCAAAAAATGAATGTATGTTCCAGTTGGATCAACTAACAAGAGAGCGGTTGATTAGGAACGCTGAACTTACGACACAATGAAGTAACCTTGATACGATTATGGTCTATCCACCTTATACCTCCTAATAGTAATTCCTCACAGTGACTTGTCATTCTCATTCGACCCTCAAAAGTTGTCAAACCTTTTAAGATCGCTTTACCACCAATAAAATTTTGCTATAAATTGTACTTTCCCAGATTACTAATATTATATGGATCTTGCTGATGGTGTAGTGTAATAGAATAAGACATACCAAAAGGAACATTTGTTTGCTTGAATAAATTGTAAAACGAAATCGTATATATGGTTCTAGTTAAACTAATTTAAGCGAAACCACGACTGTAACACTTCCGGAGTTACTGACGGTCCCAATCAATAGTAAAAGAGAAGGATAAGGCAAAGGGTAATAAACCTCATTCAGTAGAATATAACCTTGCTGAAAAAAACACTAGCCAGAAAAAATCATTTAGGCCATTTGAACTCTGCGATGTAATTTGAATGTTCTTGATTTAGAAGGGTCTAATAGGTCGAGAATCATCAAAGCATCTTTCAAAACAAAGGAGGCAATTACAATGACTGTTATCAAATGTTATGCACTCACCAGTTATGGCGACTACAACGATGAAGATCAGCTTTGTAAGAGTCTGCAACTGATCGTGAAGATGTGCTCAGGAGAGGGCCTGATCATCCTGATGAGAGACCTAAACGCCAAAGTCGGTATGAACAACACTGGTTGTGAAGACATCATGGGACGACATGCACTGGAAGAAAAAGACGAAAATGGTTATAAATTTGAGAAATTTATGTGCATTCAACAATATTTTCCCACAAACTCATGCATAAAGGTACATGGTTCTGATCGGATAACACTACAAAAAAACAAGTAAATGTCTTTCACATCAATGAAATAATCGGGTTTCTGTAAGGTGTGAGAGCAGAAGAGGAGATGACATAACTTCATACTACCACTTTGTGTTTGCAAAGAATAATCTTAAGCTAAAGCATCAATAGACAACTCGAAAAACAGCATGAAAAAAGGTTTAAAACAACCTTTCTTCCACATTCTGATAAAATTAACGAATTCAAGATAACAATCAACACCAGGTTCCAAGCCTTATGTGATTTACTGAAAGACGAAGAAACTACAATCGAGAAAACTGGAAAAGGATCAAAGAAGGACTGATCCACTCCACAAGGAGTGGATCTCTATGGGAACCCTTTTTCGGATTCAAGAAAGGA